CCCCCGGCCGGGGGGGGGTGGAGGTCAACATATTTACAAGTTGCCAAGGATGAGAAACATTGATCTGGAAGGAAAAGAGTTAAGATCTTCCTCTCCTACCAGACCTTCTGAGTGGCACTCATAGTAATTTTTTTTTTTTTTAAAAAGGGATTTTAATTGTTTCCATTTTCCTTCAGACCTTCAGTGCCCTGTGATTGGAAAGGCAGCATATAAACTGGAATTATAAATACTGTTCTATTTATCTATTGGCTACAGTTTAATACTGCTGTCTTTTCCAAGAACTCATTAATTAGACATGTTTGATTAATTAACGCTTGCCTTAATTAGACAAACATGAGCTAAAGAAATTCTAGGATTTGCACATTGTATAAGTCACTATTGGTTCTAACCATGGCTTTCTCAAGCCGTGTTGCTGGTATTCCCCAATATGCTAAGCCAGAATGAAGCAACCCATATGGTTATCAATAAATCTCTCTTTGTTATCCAATGCAGTTAAGATGCTAAATTAAAGAGAAGCCATTTCTTATCCCAAAACTGCCTTTAATTTTCCCAGACATGCAGTAATAGGCTTTAAGGGGCCATAACAGTGCATTAAAGTATATTTTGACCCCGTATTCTCAAAAGAGTTCCAGTCAAGGCACTCTTTTATTTATTTTATTTATCTATTAAATTTATATGCCGCCCATCTCCCCCACCCTCCTCTGGGCGGCTCACAATTAAAACCCCAAACAGTAAAAACAATAAAAATATAAATATCTGTATTAAAATTAACTAATAACAATTCTATATAAAAAGACTGTACAATTCAAAGTGATGGGGGGGAGCAGTATCGATCATCCCACTCTTTGGACAGGGCATGCAAAGAGCAGGATCTCCAGAACCAAATTTCAGTTGAATTCTTGGAAATCAAGTCATCTGTACCTTGATGCAATGAGGCAGGTTTGAGACCCTTCTCTTCTCATTTTAGGCACGAATGGTGGACTGAGCCAGCCTCGAAAAAGAAGCCTATTCTTTGTCCCAGCTCTTTCTCCGCTCCTGGTCCAAAATGGGTGACCTAAGAGACATGTGTCCTCACCTGGATTCCATAGGTGAGGTCACCAAGGACGACATGCTTTTCAAGTCCAAAGTAAGTGGCTTGGTCTGCAACAACATTTATCCTTGCTGATGTATGTTGCTTGGTCAGGCATCAGAGAATCCACATAGAGACAGCACAACTATTATAGGAGGCATTCTTTTAAGGAAATTCATTTTTTTGCCAAGCCAGAAGCTATGAACCCAACCATCAGAGGCCACCCTAAAAAAAAAAATAGCGAGTGGACCAGGAACAAAACTGACCTTTAATTAAAATTATGCATGTGAACACAGTCACTCTCCAGTTCTAGATTTAGTAATTTTCCCTATCTGAGAAATTAAACAGGAATTTGGAAGAGGAGAGGAAAAGATAGTGAGCTGTTCCTCCATCTCTGAGGCCAACACGCTGCTCATAAGGTTGGCGTTTTTTTCTGCCCAGCTGGGTGGCCTAAATTAGCCCATTTTGGCTGGGCTTGAAAAGCTTCGTAGATTGAGACTTAGTAATTGGATGGGAGACCGCTGAGGAATCCAGGGCAGTTGGATTCAAGCAGCATATAAATTTAATAAATTAGTAGTAGTAGCATGCTAGAGTAGTAGTAATAAATTAGTAGTAGTAGTAGCTTCCCTAGCTACTAGCATTCCCATGCTAGTAGCTAGGGAAGTCGCAAGAGCCTTCTGGCAAAAGTCAGGGATAAGCCATTTCAAACTGCTTCTGACTGGGGGGGAAAAAACAGTGTGTCTCGGAAGTCCCCAGCAGTTAATTTTTTCCTCTTCCATGTAAACACAGGGAACGTGCCAGTCTTGCGGTGCGGGAGGACCAAATCTATGGGCCTGCCTTCAGGTAAGATAAGCCTTTGTGAATGGGGTGTTGTGTTCCTCCCATTGTCAAATCTGGTGAGTTATTGGACTGGGGAGGCTCCTACTTTTGCCTTTGAGGGCACAAAGCTATGATTTTCTGCCTACATGACAAATGCAGACACCCGGGGAAATGAACTCTAAATTTCACCATCTGTCTGCTTGATTGTTCTCTAGGTCGGTTGCCACTATGTCGGTTGCGGGGAGTCCTTTGCCGATCACAGCACTTTGCATGCCCAGGTGAGAGCTTCTCCAGCAAAGAGCAAGTGAGCTTTGAATCTAACTTCCCAGAATAACATTGTCGCCTTCCCCCCTGCCCAACCACAGCCCTGCAGTGTTGAGCACCATGCAGTTCTTTCTCAGCCATGAAAAAAAGCCCCAAAACTCTAATTAATAGCCTGTAATGATTTAATGGTTTCCAAAGTCCCATTCAGGGCTCTGGTTTTAACTTTAGGAATTTTTAAAACCTGGGGCCCTAGAAGTAAGATGATCAATCTGTACTCATCCGTAGTATTATTCGAACTGGTTGTGTCTTCCTTCCATTGCATTGCTTTTTTTCTGTTAAAAAAGGGGGAAGACAAAATGATTCTCTAGCTAGGAGATGTGGTTGTATTAAAAAAAAAGGGGGGGGAGGATTGTTCTATACAATTCTTCAATCCTAGGATTTTCACATCTTTCATTTAGCCAGTATAACAGGGTGGTAGCGCCTGGCTGAATTTGGCTGATCCCAAGCAGGGTTGGATCTGGCTATAATTCTAAGAAATAAATCAATAACCCGTTGCTGTAGGGTTTCCGGGTGATTTCCTTTCCAGGTACCTGGAAAGGAGGCCACCTGGAAACCCTACAGCAATGGGTTATTTTTATTTCTTAGAATAAGGCAGGCAAGGGCAAACATTTCCGCCCTCATTCCAAAAACCCCAATTGGATAGTTTCCTTTGCTTGCTAGGAATTGCAGCTTCATTTGACTAAGTTGGCAGAGTCCATGAATCACAAACCCTAATTGCTGTTTTGGTGTTTGTTTCTTTGTTTGCTTCCTTCCGGCAACATGTGCCAGGCCAAAAAGCACAACTTGACGGTGAACCTGACCACGTTTCGGGTGTGGTGCTACGCCTGCGAGAAAGAGGTGTTCTTGGACCAAAACCCGGCGTCCCATCCTGCTGCTCTGCCCTCCAAATTTATGGAACAGGTGGTGGTTTTGGGGACCCCGCTGGCTCTTCCGCGTGGCTCCTTTCTCCTTTTTTGCTTGGCTTGAGAATGGGAAAGAGTGGCTGGCCTGTTTTTGTTCAAGAGATTTATATTAGTGCTCAAGACAGGCGGACAGAGCGCCACGGCCTCCAGTTTTATCCTCCCAACAACAACCTTTGAGGTGGGCATTGCTGAGAGATCCCTCAGTCACCCACTGAGCTTCCATGACCGAGGACAGATTTGAACCGGGCTCTTCCCAGCCTTTGCTCAGCCCCTTCAGCACTGCTCCTCTGTGGCTCTCGGTAGGATTTCAACTTTCCCTCGCCATGTAGAGAAGACATAATGTGTATTCGATGCAGAGCTACGGATTATCCTTGGATGTAAATTCTCTAGCAATCTCTTTTCTGCTTTTTTAAAAATCCCTTTGCCCTCTCAAGTCTGTCTTTGACATTTATTTATTTATTTGTAATATGTGTAGGCCTCCCACCAACTCTGGGGGGCTTTTGATTAAGAACAAAAAGATAAAAAGATCATGAGCAGCCCCCGAACAACATATGAACCCCCCAAACCCCACCCAGCAGGGGCTCACCCTTCACCCTGCCCCAAAGCTTAGGAGAATAGCCAGGTCTTTAATAGCTTCCTCAATATCATCAGGCTGGGAGCAGGATCTCCAGAGGGATAACCCTCCCGAGGGCAGGTGCTGTGGCAGAACACTATATACAGTCTGCTTTCCTTTTCATAAACTCTCTGGTGGACATATGGATGCCATATTACTTCATTCTGGGAGGTTTTACATTACTTCCACCCTGTGTGGATCTTGTCCTGGGTTTTCTGTTTATACTGATCATTGGGGATGTAATGGGCTGTGAGAATAACTTTGGGAGGCAGGAACCTAGCAGTGTTTCTCAGCCTTGGCAGCTTGAAGATGGGTGGACTTCAACTCCCAGAATTCCCCCGCCAGCATGCTTTAAAATGTTGGACTTCAAATCCCAGATGCTGATGGGGAAATTCTGGGAATTGAAGTACACGCATCTTCAAGCTGCCAAGGTTGAGAAACGCTGGCATAGACAATGGTCTGATAGAGAAATCTGAGTCTAAAGGAGAGATGGGGGTGGAGACAGCATCTCAGAAGGGACCCTCCCTTGTTCTTAGGAATAGTAAAGACAGGGGAGGGGGAAGTATACTTAGACTTGCAAGAATCTGCTACTGTAACCTTGCAATAAAGGTAGTACAGGTAGTCCTTGACTTACAACCATTCGTTTAACAATTGTTCAAAGTTATGATGGCACTGAAAAAAGTGACTTGCGACTGGTCCTCGCACTTACGACCGTCGCAGCGTCCCCACAGTCACCGGATCAGAATTTGGGCACCGGGCAACCAGGATGTATTTATAGCAGTTGCAGCGTCCAGGGGTCACGTGATTGCCATTGACAACCTTCCCAGGGGACTTCCAACAAGCAAAGTCAATGGGGAAAGCTGGATTTGCTTAACAACCATGTGGTTCACTTAACAACTGCAGCAAGAAAGGTCATAAAATCAGGCACAACTAACTTAATGACCGTATCGCTTAGTGACAGAAGTTCTGGTCCCAGTTGTAGTCGTTAGTTGAGGACTACCTGTATTACTACTCATGGTTTTGGTTTCCTGTCTGGACTACCTCGCAGGACTGGCAGGAGGCAGCCCTCAATTGGTTTCCTTCTATTTGAAACCCATCAAGTATACGAAGCCTCCGTCAGCTCAATGATGTAGTTCAGATCAGCTGTCCTTAGCATTTGAGGGCCCGTGTTTATGAACATTAACAAATATTTATTTTCCTTCCAATCATGGCAGTGAAGCAAGTTCTGTTTGGCTTCCAAATGGAAAAGAAGTCGCTGTTAGATGGAGAAATGCATGTCCACGCATGTCTGCAATTAGCTATACTCTTTGGTGGGTTTGGCACAACTGCTGAGCGTCGCTATGCAAACTCAGTCTGATTTATGGATCAGTGTGCCCTGCAAAGCTAAGGAGGGCTAATTCGGGAAACAGTGGTTTAGTCAACCATTAGCGAGCGTGTTGCGAGAACACAGATAATGGCTTGCAAAAGAGAACCCCGTTTCCCTTTCTCCCCTTTTGCCGCCAAGCTTTTCACATTAATGCGCCAGGTTTCCCTTCTAGGATTCTCCCCCGCCCGTCCGTCCGCTGAAAGCTGTCCCAATTGCCGTCGCCGACGAAGGGGAATCTGAATCAGAAGATGATGACCTAAAACCAAGAGGTGAGCCTGCCCGGGTTCCTTCTCCCTTGGGCGCAAAAGCGTTGCAGATGACAGATGACGAGATTCACCCCCTCCGTTCCTCCTCCTCTAGGCCTTACAGGAATGAAAAATCTTGGGAATTCATGTTACATGAATGCCGCGCTTCAGGCCCTCTCAAACTGGTAGGTTGGAGAACGGTGATTATTCTGTAAACGGACTCCTTGACATCTGCGACAGAACAAGGCAGCTTTCTGTCCTGTGTAGCTTGTAATTAGTAAGAACAGAATTCCATTACGATCCAAGATCAACAAGTTTATCTACGTCAGCGAGAAGCAGCACAGTCACATGACCACCTAACCGTACATTAAGACTTACATTGAATCGGTTCCTTTTGAAGCATTTGCTGTCTCCCCAGAAGGAGCATCTCTCTCTCTCTCTTGCATAACTTATAATTAGCAATAATAATATAATTCCATTCCCATCCAAGATCAACACGTATGTTTACATCAACAGAAGCAGCAGCAGAAACACCTCCACTTAACCGTGCGTTGACGTACGTTCAGTTTGATCCATGGTGACTAAGCCATTGTTATCTCGCCAGTGTAGCCTCCCTACAAAATGGTACTCCTTGTTGGACCATTAGGGAGTGTCATTCTAGGACGAAAAATCTGTCCCCTTCGGCCTTTCTGGCTCCTTTTCCAGTAGAGCTGCAAAGTAGGTGGAGTAAATCTCTCCATGTCCAGTGCAAATCCGTGTGTTTATGGTCGCTAAAGATCTGTTTCAATTTAAAACTGAAAGCTGGGGAAATGATACCTGTGCGTGGGTGGGGAAGCTGGGGAAGAGCCCATAGAGATGTGAATTAGCCCTCCCAATCTGGTGCCTTCCAGCTGCTTTGGCCTACAACTGCCATCATCCCCGGCCTGCAGGGCCAGCACACTTGGAGAAAATTGACGCGGATCAGACGGAGGCATAAGAGCCACCCAAAAGACCCTTGGATAAATTTGCATGGCCTTCCTCCCCACTTGCCCTGGGAACAAGCTGTGTTTATTTCCATTTTGGTCCGTGAACGTCTGCATGAAATTGCTGGAAACATTCTCACAGCCCTCTTACCTGCGTTTTAGCCCCCCGCTCACCCAGTTCTTCCTGGAATGTGGGGGACTCGTGCGAACGGATAAGAAGCCGGCGCTCTGCAAGAGTTACCAGAAGCTGATCTCAGAAGTCTGGCATAAAAAACGGTGAGTTGTTTAAAACAGCAGAATCTGTGAGCTGTAAAGTAGATTTTTAGCCTCGGTTGGTGGTGGATGGGGGGGAAAAAACCTCTGTTCGAAGAGCTAAATTAATTTTGCAACGCAGTCCTTAGCATTGGCCAGATCACAGGCTGTCTTTCAGCCTTGTGTTGTGTTTGTAACTGATCTGATCGTTCCTAATAGGCTATTAGAGATGGATTTCCCTCCCTGCTGCTTTGCGTTCCACGTTCTTTTAACGGCCCGGTAGAATTTTATTTACATCCTATAAAAGAAATACTTGGAAACAGAAACCCCCCTTCCTTTTATCTAGTTCTTACAAAGATAAAGGGAGGGGAGGGGGAAGCGCGTTCAGACTTGCAAGATTCTGTTACTATAACCTTATAATAAAAGAAATCCATTAGAGTTGCATGGCTAGCAAAGGGCTGACACCGTACCTAGTAATGCGTAATGCTTTGTATTCCATAAAATACACCCTACGCCTCGTGGTGTATTTTATATTTTGTTGTATTTTTCATCTGCCCGATCACGAGCACGCTTCGAACAAACAGGCAGCTAAAAGGATGAGACGGCAGTAAATGGAGGCCGCTGCTTCTGCGAGCCGTCGTCGCTATTGTTTCTCCTTTCCCCCCAGCCCGAGCTACGTTGTCCCGAGCAGCCTGTCTCACAGCATCAAACTGATCAACCCCATGTTTCGGGGCTACGCACAACAGGTGAGCAAATTCCCTTCGCTGAGATGGTTTACCTGGGCTCTCCTTGCTGCCATGGTTACAAAGCGGCGCATCGTCTCCATTTCTCCAGGGCCGAATACGGAAGGGTTACTCTATCAGGGATCCCTCCCACCACCCTCGCCTTTGACACTAGACAGATCTAGACCTGGTTTCATACATTTTCCTAAGCCGTGGCTTGCTCCAGCCACGGTCTGTTGAAAAAGGGCTGTCTTGCCGAGTTCCCACATCGTGCTAGCCACCAACCGGGCTTTCTAAACTATTTTTAAGGGCGTAACTGGTGCATTAAGCTTTAGAGAGACTTTTCACCTATATTATCCCCCTTTTTTTACATTTCACTGCTGAATTTGCGCGTGATTTGAGGGGCAGATGCTCTGCTCTCCCTCATAAAAAGGGAGCTGGGGATGAAAACGAGTTGCCTTCCCTGATCCTAGGGTTTGTTTTCATACAACACAGTGAAACCGAAGCTGGCCTAACATGCAAGGCCAGTTCTAGCAAGAATGAAGGGTTGTTTTTTTCCCCTAACAGCCTTTGCTCTCTCGACTACCATCTCTTTCCGTCCCGTTCCAGGACACGCAAGAATTTCTGCGGTGCCTGATGGACCAGCTTCACGAAGAGCTGAAGGAACCGGTGACGGCCGAACTGCGAGACTCCGACGCGAGCGACACGGACGACAAGAGGGAAGGGGACCGCAGCCCGTCGGAGGACGAGTTCCTCTCCTGCGACTCGAGCAGCGACCGCGGAGAAGGGGACGGGCAGAGCAAGGCCGGAGCCGTTTTGGCCGAAGCGGAGCTGCTGATCCAGGAGGAGGCGGGCCGGAGCATCTCCGAGAAGGAGCGGATGAAGGACCGGAAGTTCTCCTGCCACCGAAGGCGGAGCAACTCCGAACAAGTCGACGAAGATGCCGACATTGACACCTCGGTGATGGCGGTGGAGGGCGGGGCTTCTCCAGAAGGGCTCCTGCCCCCCCCTCCTCGTCCAGTCAGCCCCACGAGGACCCCAGGTAGTTTCCAGAGGAGGCCGACGCCTCCCATGGTGCCCGGGGGATGTGGAAGATCGGCCTCTGGACCTTGCGAGCTTCCGACCTTCCTTGGCCACCCTTTTCTCCTTTTAAAGGTTCTTTTGGGGAATTAGGAAACAGAAGTAGCAGCCAAGGACCGGCCAGCAGTGTGCCTTTTGTTTCTCAGAAGGCCCTTGGAAGTGTAGGATCACTCGCTAGCTTGCGATTGGTTCTGATGGGCTAGGTCCTCCTTAGCAGCCCTGTAGGGTATACCACCTCCATCGCTCCCATTTTCTGAGAGCTGGGTTGGAAGGTCCCCGTGTGTCTGCGAGTGCCTGCTGTAGGTCCTCTCCTCCCCTCCATCTGCCTTACCTCCCTCCCTGCCCTTCTCCTCTCACAGAACCAGACAACGACGCCTACCCGCGTTGCTCTTCCCGGCCCTGCAGCCCGGTCCACCACGATATGTATACCAAGCTGTCAAGTCCTCCGCATTCCAGCCCCGTGAGGCTGGGACCCTCGTACGTGCTGAAGAAATGTAAGAGGAGAACGTTTCTACTGTGGGTGGGTGGGACGGACAGCGGCTGGGACCAGGTCATAGCCCTGTGCTGATTCTGGACATCCTCCTTCCACCGTGCGGATGAACACAGCACCTTCATGGGGATGGGCAGAGTCAACTCGGGGATTGTGTTCTCACGCCAAACATGTCCTAGCTTAACACGCTTGGTTGGCACGCCCAGTGTTACGAAGCCAAGAGCTAAGTTTCTCAAGCACCTTGAATTGCAAAGGACTCAGCCCCTTTTTAAATTTAGTCTAGAAACAGGGATCCTCCAACCATGGGCTGTATCCACCCGAGGCTGTGAGCACCTTAGAGGATAGTTCTAGAGCTGGGTTGGGCTACCTGTAGGCTTCCGGTCGCCCCAAGTACCCCGGGACCCTGCTGCTGAAATAAGGTAGCAAAATGATGCAACATTGGTATCGTGACTCTGGGCCATGTTCCCCATCGGGACGTTTTAAGGATAGTTGTTGCCTCCCAAGAACATCTCACTGCATTCATCCTTAATGCCCCCCCCTGGGAAAAAAGAGGCACAAATTCACCCCACAGTATCCAGCCACCCCCTTGGGTGCATAGTCCCTTTGGGAAGCTTTGCTGAGAAAATGGAGTAATATTTTCCACATTTTGGGGATTAATGCTTTTATCTGGGAGAAAGACTAGGTTTCATTAGATAATTTTAACTTTGAAGCAGAGAGCTTATCTTAGAATTCCTGGGAGCATCAATATTCATTCATACAGACGGATGTACCTACGAGGAACTATTAATGTATTAACGGTGTGCTGTATTTTTGTGAGTTGGTCTTGGACCATAAATAAACAAATCAGTCAGTTTTAAGGCTGTCCAACTCCACTCTGAGCAGTTCCCAGCGTTCAAAGCGAGAAAACATGTGCATTTAGAAGAAAAGATGCTTAATTGGGAAAAATTCTTCAGGGTCTTAGCACCATCCTACCCACCCACCCCCAAAGGCCTGCTGGAAGAGCCCTGTTTTCAACGCCTTTGCACATCATCAGGGTGGGAGCCAGATGGACCTCTGGGGGGGGGATGCTGTTCCAGAGGACAGGCACTGCAACAGAGCAGATGTAGCGGAGGCAGAAGCAGGGTGGCCTTTCGTAATTGACAGATGGAAAGTTTGTCAATGCACAGATTTTCTAAGTGCCGTCCAAGGCTTTTTGGTATGGCACTCATTGTACTCCCCCCAGAAAAACCTTGGACGGCACGTAGACAATTTCATAATTATGATGATTTGCTTCCTTCCACAGCTCAGCTGCTGGCTACTGGAAAAAAGAAGAAAGAGCTGCGCTACCGTAGCGTCATCTCCGACATCTTTGACGGCTCCATCCTCAGCCTCGTGCAATGCCTCACCTGTGACCGAGTGAGTTTCCGTGACCTTGGAAAGAAGACGGCCCTCTCCACATCCTCTCCTCTGGCTGTGGGTGCACTTCACATCAGGTCTTGGCCACAGAGAGAATCTTTCCTAGTCTTTGGTTCGTGAGTTGCAGGGGCCAGGCAGGATTGTAATGGTATGCGGGAAAGACCTTGGGAGATTGGGCCCAGAGATGCTGCCAAGGGAACGGTCAGATAAGAGACAGCCTAGCCCTCAGCTGGATAGTGGGCAGGGCAAGAAGCTCAGAAGAGACCGTCCCTAGTTTCTCAGGCTGTAAAAGAGACAGGGGGAGATTGTACTTTCAGACTTACAAGATTGATCTTGGCCTCGCGGAGTAAACCAGATAGGAATCACAACCAGATGAACTAATTCTACTTTATTGTAAACGTACATTAAAGAATCTTGCAAGTCTGAAAGTACAATTCTCCCATCTCCTTTACAGCCTGAGAAGCTAGGGAGGATCCCTTCTGAACCTCTTGCCCTGCCCACTATTCCAGCTTACTTTCTTCTATCCTCCTGTGATGCCCTCCAGGTTTCCACCACCGTGGAGACCTTCCAGGATCTGTCGCTGCCTATCCCCGGGAAGGAAGACTTGGCTAAATTGCATTCAGCCATTTACCAAAACGTGCCGGTCAAGACGGGAGCATGTGGGGACAACTACGCCGCCTCACAGGGCTGGATCGCCTTCATCATGGAGTACATTCGCAGGTCCGTGGGTCTTGGAAATGCCTTCAGAGTTTGGTGTTGACCCTTTACTGCTTCTTGATTTATTGCATTTACGACCTGACTTTGATAGCTCAGGACAGGGTACATGGTTGAGAAGGGGATGGTTTTCCTAATTTTATCTCCATAACCACATCCCTGTGAAGGAATTTGGGTTAAGAGACAACGGTGGGTCCAAAATGAGCTGCAGTGGCTGAATGTGGGTTTGAACCTGGGTCTCCCCAATCCAGTTCAACTCTCAGGCTTCTGTGGTCTACTTTAATTTTTCCTAGTGCAAAAGACTGGTCTGGGGCCCAGCCTGATGCAGAATTTGGATTCCAAATCATCCGCCCGCCAGGAGTGGTATTCAAATCTGCATCACAAATACAGGCAGGGTGTCTAGTCCAGAGCGACCCCATTCTGAATCAGGCCCCTGCTGTCTCCTTGTCTTCTCCAGGTTTGTGGTGTCCTGCATCCCCAGCTGGTTTTGGGGCCCCGTCGTTACCCTGGAAGACTGCCTTGCTGCCTTTTTCGCTGCAGATGAGTTGAAAGGTGTGTTTGCAGGAAGAAAGGCTGCTTAGAAACCTCTCATATGGCTTGTGCACTGAGGCCCTTGAAAGGGAGGGTGGTGGAATGGTATGTGCGACAGGGGGAAGAGCCACAGCCAAGGCTACAGTTGGATAAGAGACAGCTTAACCCACAGCAGGAACGTGGGCATGGCAAACATCTCAGAAGGGTCCCTCCCTAGTTTCTTGGGCTGTAAAGGGAACGGGGGAGAAATGCACTTTCAGACTTGCAAGACTGATGTCAGCCTTGCGAGGCAGTCCAGACAGGAAGCATGCCCAGAGGAACGAATTCTTTACTGTAAGGTTACATCAACAGAATCTTGCAAGTCTGAAAGTACATTGGCTCTTTGCTGGCTGGGGAGTTCTGGGAATTGAAGTCCACGCATCTTAAAGTTGCCAAGGTTGAGCAACACTGGCGTAGAGAACATCTCTGTCGGCATCCATTGTGTTTTCAGATTAAAGCACACGCTCAGCAGCAGATTAAGGGAACCTATATCGGAGACCATTGTGAATCAGACTTGTCTATTCTTCTTCAACCAGGCATCTACAAAATATATGAGGTCTAGAAATCTCAGGATTCCCAACCAGCGTGTCCCTGGCCCATCATCAGCCAGGAGTTCTGAGTGTGCTCGTTCCCACTTTTCTGGAATAGCACTAGGTTTGAGGAGAATTAGGGTAGACATCCTCCTAAAAAAATGGGTGCACCATCAACTTGGAGTTTCTCGGGGTTTGGTGTATTATGAAAGTCACTCAACAGAGCTAAAGCGGTCGTTAAAAGAAATAACTAAAATATTTATTTAAATAAATAAAAGCTGAAGCGCCAAGAGGCGAGGCAATTTCGCTGCAAGACGGAAATGTAAATGTATCCCAGAGGAATATATTGATGCCCCAAAATGGAAGGGTTTTTGTTTGTTTTTTTGCCCATCATGAAGTCAGGAAAGTCTGTCTAGATCTGGCCTCAGCTCTTGAGGACTTTGCATGTCACGTACTTTTCTTGGCAGCAATACGTGGGTGCGTGTAATTTTCCAATCTGGTGTGGGATATCCTGGTGGTCCCCCATCCAAGCACAAACCAAGTCAACCCTGCTTTGTTGTTGTTGTTTTTTGAGAGCATATTGTGCAAGAAATGAACCATGCGGGTCATTCTCTCCTTTTGGGGCGTGTTCATGACGCCTCTCCCATCTTGCTTTCTCTTCTAGGCGACAACATGTACAGCTGTGAAAGATGTAAAAAGTAAGTCCATAGAGGGGAGCAGGTCTTCCTTCCTGCGATGACTCTCCCAGATACTTTCCCTGGCTGCTCCCAACTTTGGGAACCTTTGAGAAACAACACTCAGCCTCTCGGCGGGAGGATAAAATTGGAAGCAGCCGAGAAACTCTGGCCAGTTTTGGCAGCTGGGAGGGAGGTCATCAGCAGGGCTTAACGTCCCCTTTGGGGGTGGCAGTTGGGGAGGGAAAGCCCACTAGGATTAAGGGGGGCTATAAAAGGGAATATGACAGGGCAGAATCTCCAGGAGTGACCGATCCTTTTTCCTCCTTTTTTCCTTCCTCCTCCAGGTTGCGGAACGGAGTTAAGTACTGTAAAGTGCTGCAGTTGCCCGAGGTGAGCCGTTTCCCTTTGCTCGGTTTTGCAGACGCTTGGGGCTAAATTTCTCCCGCAGCTGATGACTTTCTCTCCCGCTGCAGAGTGAGAAGTAACTGCTCGCTCTGTACCGCTCCCTCTGGAAGGGAAGGCGTGTGCGGGGTGAAATAGGCTGGGGAGGTACATCGAGGAAGACCTTTGGTCTCAGCAGCCAATTTTCTGGAAAGGAAGAAAGATTGCCTAGCACAGAAGGGGGCAGCGCTTTAGGGCGGAGGGCCGCTCCTGTATTTCGGGGCTGCTGTGACGTTCTAGGTCCTTCCTTGCTCTCCTGCAGGGCCTGAACTGGCCTCGCTTGGCCTCCAGCCCACGATCTGGTGGCTTTTCCCGAAGGGCAGTCGGAGGGCTTTGATCTCTGCAGGCTTTTTTCAGACTGCTCTTCCCCCCAGGTCCTCTGCATCCACTTGAAACGTTTCCGGCACGAAGTCATGTACTCCTTCAAAATCAACAGCCACGTTTCCTTCCCCCTGGAAGGGCTGGACCTCCGGCCCTTCCTGGCCAAGGAGAGCATCTCTAAAATCACCACGTACGATCTCCTCTCTGTGATTTGCCACCACGGCACAGCAGGCAGTAAGTTGCTCTTCTTCGTGTTCCCTGTTCCTCTGAAGGGGGTCTGGAAAGCGGGTGCGGGGTCTGTGGGCAAGGGTGGTGTAGAGGAGGACAGGGATGGCCTCGAAGGAGGAATTCAACAGCTGGTAGGTATATACCAGCTTAGTCCTGGAAGGGAGGAGGATGTGAGAAAGAAACTCAAGATTGCCTCACCTTGACTCTCTTGCCTATAAGAGGGAAGAAGGAGAAACTCTGTCAGTCTTTCTGCTATTATACCTTATAACAATAAAGTGGAGTTCCAGTGGTCCTCGTGGGGTCTGTTTCCTGACCTGGCCAATCTCAGAGGGCTGAGAGACACACCTCGCATAACACCAAGATGTGCTCTGTTGGGTGAACTCACTAGTTTGTAAGCTGGGTATCCTTTGGACTATGATGATCCTGGGAACTGTAGCGCCAGCTCCATTATGGAATAGTCCAACTCAGACATGGGCTGTTCAGCATTTCAAAGAAGTTACTCTTACCTTGAAGTGAGCCCTTTCTGGGTGTTCTGCAATGTCCTGGTCATCTCAAAACATTTGGGGACTTGGAACATTTCATAATGAATGGGTTTGACATACCTATAATGCCAACTTAGTAGCTTGGCCCAGGCTGGTCTACAGTTTCCCGAAACGGCCTTGTTGATGCCACTGAGTGCTGGTTGACTGTGCTCCTACAACCCGGAGGAGAGTCTGCCAGACAAACCCAGGGAAGGTAGGGAAAAAAACAGGATAAGAGGAAAGCTGCGGATGAAGACGACAGCACATGGTGGAAACAGAGTTGAATTCACAGGAAAAGAGAGAGAGACAGAGGAGGCATTAGGAAGTAAATACCAGATGTTCAACTGCAGACACTGAATTTTCATTTTTTTTCTTCGTGCTCTGAGCTTGCGCCAAAGATCACTGTTGACCGTGCCTGCCTTTTAAACAGATGGCTTAAATGGGTTTCAAGCGTGTCACTTTTGAGTCTGCCTTTTTTTAATGCGAGCAGTTCCTCCCCAACAGGACTGTGTGGCTTGCCCCAAACTGCTTTGATTCTCTTACCCTTCCGGTGAGAATCCCCTTTTTTATCAGAAGCAGGGATAAAATCCCCCCTCAGCCCAGTGGGTAATTCTTGGTCTTTGGGTAATAGGTGGACATTACATTGCCTACTGCCAGAACATGATCAACGGCCAGTGGTACGAGTTCGACGACCAGTATGTGACCGAAGTGCACGAAACAGTCGTGCAGAATGCTGAGGCTTACGTCTTGTTTTATCGGTGAGGATGGCCTTGCATGTGGAACGAGCCCGTTGTGCGAGAGGCTCGCTCCTGGGGGTGCGAAGAGAAAGCACCAAACTGGGTTTCAGGGCCAAGCATCGCTTGATAAAAATCGTCCGTGCAAGCGTTCCTGGGTCTGAATTCCAGAAAGGAACCAAGAGGAGAAACGTAGGGACGGAGGTCTTGGGTTGGCCGCAGGGAGACCCCTGGGGGAGTCTGCCTTCGGCCATGAAAACTCCCTGGGTGTCTTTGAGCCAGTTGCTCTGCCCAGCCCAACCTACCTCACAGGGTTGTTGTTATGGCAAAAAAAAATGGGAGGAATGCTAAGTACATCCCCTCAACCTCCTGCACGAAAGGAGGGATATTAAGCGAACAACGCCTTGCCCCAAAGGGCAGCTCCAGAAAAATTCGTTTAGAAGGGTTGGCTCTCCTGACACTGAATCTCAGACTTGCCAATCCCAATTTAGCTGGTCTGCTTGGCGAGGCGGTTCTCTGCGTTGTGCCAACCCAAGGAAGCATTTGGCACCAACCCAGGAAGGGGGCCAACGTGCCCAGCTTTCTTTCTGTGTTGTTCTCCGCATGCGCCAAGCGCCAATGTTCTGCAGCTGAAAAGTGGGCAAGCCCACGGCGTAACAGCTCTCCTTTCTGGGAGCGCCTGCTGCTTCTCAAAGTCCACCCTGCGCGGGGCACAAACGCTCCCCCCTCCTTCTCCTCCCGAAATGTCCTGCAGAAAAAGCAGCGAGGAGGCTGTCCGGGAGCGCCAGAAAGTCGTCTCCTCGGCCACCATGAAGGAACCCGGCCTGCTGCAGTTTTACATCTCCCGGGAATGGCTGAACAAATTCAACACCTTCGCAGAGCCGGGACCCATCACCAACTACACTTTCCTCTGTTCCCACGGAGGTGAGGGGTATGGCGGTGGTCCCTGCGCTTCTCTTCAGCTAGCAAACTCGTTATTTGCTGTCCCCCCCCATAATTTTATGGGTGGATTTGGGGGTTCCCTTGAGGTTTGGAGACTTTGGGGAGTTTTCGTAGCCTGTTTTTTTCCAAACAGCAAGGAATCGTAGCACCGGTTCGGTCAGAGGTGGGGCAAACATGGATTTGGGGGGTTTACATTACATTACCCCACCTTGGTTCTCATTCAATTCCTTGACTTTACAGTGGGTGGGGAAGAAAGGCAGGATCGTGCTTAGCTCTGATTCAAAGGCTCGGGTGATCTTTGGGCCTGAAGTCTTGGAAAACTGTTTGCCAGTCTGAGAAAACCGTGCCCCTCTTGTACAGATCAGGAGATTTCTCTTGGTCGAAATCAGCAGCATTGGCTGCGTTTTCCTCTGCTCTCCATAACCGCAAAGGAGGCAGCAGGAAACTCCTTGCAATCGCCTAGCGCAACTTGGGGCCCAGAAGGTTCTCGCAAGTGTCCCGAGATCCGTCGCCAAGTTGTCATCCCCAACTCAACAGGATTGGAGCGTTACTTACGTCGCCCACTTTTATTAGAAATAGAGATGGGATCAGATTGACATCTGGCCCTTATCCCAAGCCACCATGCGAAGATCGAGCATGGTCCTCAGTTCAGAAAACGTTGCACGCTCATGATGGAGGAAGGTGGCCCTCCTGCCAACGAGGGGACGCTTGGGTACCCCATTTTTAACTCTTGACTTTCTCAATAGGGATTCCACCCAATAAATACCATTATATTGACGATCTCGTAGTGATTCTTCCCCAGAATGTTTGGGAATACCTGTATAACAGGTAAGGAATTTGCTCCTGGTGGTTCCACTGCTGTTAGAGTTACTGTTCTTACCTCTTGGTCTCCTGTCCATCCCAAGGACAGCCATTTGCAGGAGAAGATTAAATAAAAGTTTGGGGATACACTTACTTCTGTACTCTTCAAGCACTCTTGAATTAAGCACTGTTATTTGTGTGCTTCTGTTTTGTATGTTAATTGCTTGTGGTTGCCTCATACACTAGTTGTGTTTTTAATACTGTGTTGTGTGCAGTCTTATGTTTCATGTTGCATATTTTAATCTTGTAAAGCCTCTGAGAATCATTGGGTGGCCTAGAAATTTAGCTAATGGTTTGGACTTGGACCATAAATCCATAAATGGAAAAATACATTTGGCTGATTCATGCCTCTGAAATCAAGTTTCTGGCCCTCAGTGTAGCAGAGCAAAATTTAAAAAGTTTTGTCTCGCTTCTCTATAAAACCATACGTAGAAGCATCTTTTACAGAAAGCCTTTGGAACAGGCTGTCCATTCATTGCCTCCCCCCATAACAATAACAGACATTTCTCTATTTAACCCTGTCTCCACTCTCTTTTGCTCTGCAAATTCCCACTCCTGAATAAATGACAGGTAGTCCTCGACTTACGACAGCAATTGGGACCGGAATTTCCGTCGCTAAGTGAATGGTCGTAGGTCAAGGACTACCTGTATAAAGCCAGATGTTTAACTCTCCTGCATTCTCTACGGCTCCTGGTCTCCTGAGTGACAAGGCCAAGAAAGTCCGCCTTCCAACAAGGCAGCTGGGAGTAGAGTTGGACTGGAGGGGTTCAGTCCCAAGGCGAGGCACAATTTGGTTGGTTCAGCGCCTGGTTTCGTTCTGTGCTCAGGTTTGGTGGGGGCCCAGCTGTGAATCACCTCTACGTCTGTTCGGTGTGCCAGGTGGAGATCGAAGCCCTGGCTAAGCGGAGGAAGATGGAGATCGATACATTCATCAAGGTACCGTCTCCGGCGGGCCTGCTGGGGTAGGGAGCGCAACGGTGGGTTCAAGGGGCAGGGCCAGGTCAACCCAGAGAAGCTCAGGAGGTGGGGCCAACTCTGTTTGTCAAAGCCCCCCCCCCCATTTTAAAAGGGAATCTGGGAGGGAGGAAGGGGGGATCTGGAGAAGCCCAGCCTGGGGCTGGCTTATCAGAGTGTGTAGGCAACATCCCGGGTTTACCCCAAACAGCCTATTTTGCAGCAAGAACAGGTGGGTACATAGGGCTGGGGGCCATTGAGGGTTCAGGAGCATGTGGGCGTGCTCACAAGATGGCTGCCAAGGCAGGCGCAACTGCTCCTGTTGGCCAGAAGGCGACTTGTCCTCCAAGATGTCATCTTTGTCATCCCAGCTGGACCTTCACTGTAGCAAATCAAGGCCACACGAGAGACTCTGCCAGCATCCTCTTTAACTGAAATCATCTTTTTTAAAAAAGCTAGAGGGGCCAAAAATCCAGAGGAACGTACTGGGGGGACGTTGTCCCTGCCCTCTGCCCCGAGGGATCCCCAGCGTAAGAGGTGCTTCCCCCCAGAAAAGAAGAGTGGAAAAACACAAGTTGCAAATCTGTACCATTTTAGTGATGGAGGTGGGGAGAAATTGGGCTCTCAGACCCTGAACCAGCCGGCCCTGTGCTTAGTCCACTGGGACCCTGCCTCGCCTTTTCCAAGCCAAGGGAGCCTGCAGGGAGTGGTCAAAAAAGTCAAGATGGTGGCCACAAGCAAAGCTCCACCCATTCATTATGTGCGTTGCCCCTTCGATCGCACCGGGGGAACTGCTGCCTTCTCTTCTGGACCCTCCCCGTGGGCGAGGCCCGCTGGGATCCCCTGGGGTGCTTCCACCTCCCTGCCTCCCTGACCTCCGCCCCTTCGCCCCCCAGCTGAACAAAGCCTTCCAGGCAGAGGAGTGCCCGGTCGTCATCTTCTGCATCAGCATGCAGTGGTTCCGCGAGTGGGAGGCCTTCGTCAAGGGCAAGGACAACGGTGAGCCCGGGGGAATGCTGGCAGGACGGGGGGCACAGCGAGGGCTCGGCTCGAGCAGCAGCAGGAACTTCGCTGCACCCCACTTGCCTGGTTTAAGCACCAGGGCAAAAGTAGGCTCCCGTGCCGCAAATTCTCCTCCAGCCTTTTCAGTAGTCACCACCCTGGTTTTGATGAGATGATGATGAATTAAAGCAAGGGGAAATAATTGCATTGAGTGCGTGGAAGTAACTGGCATACGTTTAACCATGCCCATTTATTCATCTTGCCCTGCTTTCTGTTTTGAGTGAGGCTCCAATTTTTACTAAACTTCAGCCTTTCTTTAACTGGGGGATTGTGACATGTGGGGCTTCAATTCCCCAGCTCACTTGCTTACTGCTAAGCATTCTGGGACTTGAAAACACTCTCCAGATGTGGGACTTCAACTCCCAGAATTCCCCAGATTTCCTTTGGCTATCCCTTCAAATCCTGGGATTTAAAGTCTAAACCTTTTAGATGGAAGCTATTCCAAGAGCTTTTAATTAACAGGAAAAATAGTTTCCTTTAAATAACTATTACCAAACATGCTAATCCGGGGAGTTATAGGCCGAAAACCAAGCCAAGGAACTGGTGCGTGGCTGCCTTTAAAAAAAAGAAAAAAAGCCACTTCAAGCAGCTGTTTAAAAAGGCATCTCTGTTTGGCCCCTTTTCCCAGCAACTGCTAAGGGGGTCAGTTGGGACCCCAGCCGCCCTCTGTTTGGCCCAACCCCATCCGGAGCAGAGGCTGGCCTAAGCGCCACGGGCTCGCCCGCCGCAATTCCCAGACACTGATTTCTTTCTTGCAGAGCCCCCGGGTCCGATCGACAACAGCAAAATCGCTGTGGCCAAAGGAGGCGGCTACATGCAGGTCAAGCAGGGTAAGAGCAAGAGGAAAGAGCTTTGCCGGCGGGCCGGGCTCCGCTTGCTTAATGTGGCAAATAAGAGTAACAGCCCGATGCGATGGAACGTATCTACGAGGAGGAGGGTGATGTGGGAGATGAAGGCCGTTGGGAGGGAGGGGGCACATTCCCGGAGGGGGGAGGAGGCAGCATAGTCTGCAGGGGGAGCGTGGGAAGCGCAAGAGGTTCAGGATGGCCACTCCCTAGAAACTCCCAGGGTAGATCCCCTTGTTGCCGTAGTATAGATTTAGCCTGGCAAGATTCTGTCTATAAGGTGCAAGCAGTAAAGGAACTTTACTCGACTGGACTCGTTCACCATTGTTCTTGGGCTGGGCCTGACACCCAACTGGCCTTGATCGACCTTCAGGGCAACCTGTTGCTGACAGGTACCCGCTCAGAGTTCGGATGCTGCTGGAATCTCTCCTCCTCCTCCTCCTCCTCCTTGGCCTTTCCTGACCAGCTCCCGTCTTTTCCAGGAGCCGATTACGGGCAGATCTCCGAGGAGACCTGGATCTACTTGAGCACGCTCTACGGCGGAGGTCCCGAGATCGCCATCCGGCAAAACGTGGCACAGGTGCCGGAGGTGGAAAGCCTCCACGGAGAGCAGAAGATCGAGGCTGAGACCAGAGCAATTTAAATGATCACCACGTCCAGGTAAGGGAAGGGAGGCTACGCCGTCCAGTTTGTGGTTTATTTATACGATTGATTTATATCCCTGCCTTTTGGTTCCTCAAGGAGTGTCCTCTTTTTCCCCCACAACAATCCTGCGAGGTAGGCTACGCTGAGAGAAAGCACTTGGCCCCACATCATCCCAGGACCTTCCATGGCCAAGGATGGTCTCAGACCCGAGTCTCCCTCATCCCGCACCACCTTCACTACACCGCCCGGGTTTACTACTCCGGTGCATTGTGGAAAAAGCCCCCTTGGCTGGTTTCCTACACGGCACAGAGCCACAAAGGGGGTGTTGGGATTGCATGCTGGCTGGGGAATTCTGGGAGTTGAAGTCCACACATCTTCAAGCTGCCGAGTTTGAGAAACCATGCGCTAGAGCTTTAGGCCTAAGCTTAGAGCTCAGAGTCTGAATGGGCCTCTCAAAATTTCATTTTTTTCCCCACGATTAGTTTTCCTATAATTTCACATAGGAACGTCTCCCTAAATCAAGCTTTGCGCAGCTCGCGTGACCCTCGTGAATGAAGACACACTTGGTGTCTGCACACTTTCACACCTCCTCTTCTGAGAGGGCCCTTCCCCGCCCCATCGCGGGTTCGTTGTGCAATTCGGTGGCCGAGTTTGGTTGTGGCCCAGCCTTCTCCTTCAAAAGCCCTGGCAGAGTTCCCTAGCTTTGGACCTCCCCAGGTCGAAATCTAGCCCCGAGTCCCACACCGGGCACATTGCCATCTTTCAGGCTGGCCCAGCTAGGAAAGGGCTGTCGCTTCCTCACGCAAAGGGGTCATTTTTCGTGGCTTTGCTTAATGGCTAAATTGCATTTGAGGCATGACCTGATGTTCCCCCTCCCTTTCCTTTTGAATGGCATACTCTCTCGCAGTGAGCTGGCATTGCCTCTCGTTCAGCGCATGGCTTTGAGACTTGGCCAATGTTAAGCTCAAAGCTCTGAAGTCCTCCAACGTAGCGGCGATCAGAAGAGGCTCTCATGCGAATAACTAGGAGGGGACCCCGCAAGGCCGCTTGCTGCCCGCCGCCTCCCCGCCTCAAGCGAAGGAAACGTAACTCTGATTTCTCTGTCCTTCCTTCAGTTAGGTTGGCTTCCCCTTCAGCCTTCTCTTGTATTTTGGAACTCAACGCACCTCCAGCCGCCGCCCTGCCCTGTCCCCAGCGAGTCTCACCACCGCTAGTTGCGACCAGTCTTAATTTGATGCTCTGCCGCTCCTCATGTGTCACTTGGCAGGTGGCAGAGAGCACCTGGCAAGCCCATTCTTGTCCCGGATCGCCCAGGTCCAGTCAAGGAAGAGCATCTTCAGAAAAGCTGCTTCTGTTCAGTTTGCTTCTTTCTCATCCCATCATCTGCAGAAGCCGAGAAGAAGTTCTTCGGAGAGGTTCTGGTTGTCCTCGGGAGGAGTCGGCCACGCAGTTCCCATCAAGTCACCTTGCTGGCCTTTTGTAACTGTGACTTTTGCTGTACTTGAAGTACCAAGAGTAGGTGCCCCATTGTTTTGGTTCTCCTATGTTTCTCTCCTGAATTTTTACCTGGATGGGGCCAGGACAAATTTGGGCGTCACCTGGAAGGAACCTCGTCCGTTGAAAGGAACATGCAGAGGACGGTCGGTTTGTTCTTTTGTGGCATACAATGGATTTCCCCCCCTCACCTGCACGGATGGAAAGGGGTCTTCATAATGGAGGGTGGAGCCCCACATTCCCTTCTATTTATGTATTTATTTGCAAGGAGTGGAACATCCTTGATGACTCTTCTGGTCTCTGCCTGCCTCCACCCCCAGTATTTCACGCGAGACAAGCACAGACAAACTGTTACTGAAAACAAAGGATGCGCCCTGAGCAACGTCGACAAACTTGCTTGAAATTTTATCCAGCGGTTCCTTTTACACCCAAATGCTTGTATAGCCAGGAATCCCATAAACGCCTCTACGTCTCAGGGCGGAAAGAGATCATGCGCTAGGCCTGAGCATGCTGGAAGGATCAAGCGAGGAAGCGGGGCCCCCATCCTCTGCGCATCTGTACTGACATTCACCCGGATTCACTGGAAAAGTTCCTTTGTGGACTCGTTACTTTCTCACCTGGGCAGGCAACGTCTTGGGCAAGACGGAGCTAACCGTGTTTATCCCAGCAGCCGGACAACCCCGCTTTGGACGTGAACCGAGAGCTGGTCTCTTGCACATCTCTGCTTTTTGCTCGGACAGACCCCGCTTACTGAGTCTCGAGAGCGGAGAGGGGCGTCTTCCGGGAGCTGGACGGATCTCACCGTTCCGGCGACCTACCGCTCGGCGCCTTTCTCCCCAGGCCCACCCACACATGCGCCATCTCACTTGACCCGGGTCGGAATGGCTTTGCCCTAAACAAGCCAGTTCATTTTTCTGGGCAGAGGGCTGGCAGCAAGCGGGGTGGGGGGAATCAAGACGTGTAACGAAAGGCGTTCTCATGAGAAGCTGCTCTGGGAGACGAGGCGTCGGTGGCAAAGGCTGAATCGGATCGCCGAGCAAGAGTGCACCCCTGCCAGGCTTCTCGGCCTCACTTGCACCTGCTGGAAGTGGAGAAGCGCCGTTGGGCATGACCTGTTCTTGCTGTTTCTCACCGACCCCAGTGCTGCTGGGGCTGCTTTCTTCGTTGTCCTGCGTGCATCCCCTTTGCAGAGGCCGAGCCTTCAGACGCTTCATTCTGGTGCCCAAGATTATTTTTTCTTTCT